CCCCTTCCTAGCGGACCCAGATTTTCGATTAGTAGGCCTATTGTATGTGTTTTCAACTTTTCCCGCGAATACCCCAGCCCGAGTGGAAAAATACGTAGAAAAATACCCTTATTACTGTACCGTAGCTCACCATGAAGGAAGGCGTGGCGCTCATGCCGCACGTCCTCGGAGTTGGGGGATACATGTCGATAGACGTCCTCCGCGAGAGCACCTAATATATTGTGTGCCGACAAGTTCGAAAAGAAGTCGGGGCATACCACGGATTTTTCTGAGATAACCATACATGCAATGGGGTTCTCGTCGGCAACGATCCCTTATGTGCCGCTATCAAGGCGCGAGACCATTACCCTCCTTGCGAGCTGCAATACAATCAGACACGAAACTGAGAGCCGTGTTGATTCCAACCACCTCCAAGCTGATTCGAAACCCGTTTCCCGTCACAAGGAGGTACTCACCGCCGCAGGAGCAAGAGACGAATCGTTACTCCTGGGTCCTATGGCGCCTAGCAGCCAGAGCAACACGACACCGACCAGCAGTACAGCTCGCCGCGGCGGTGCCATCGTGCCTCTGACGTGTTCCTTTCGTTCAGGCGCCTCTGTAGCCTGCGCGGGGAAACAAGGACGTGCAGGTTAACCAACAAAATAAAATTGGTGTCACTTCATGGCCAAAGGAACACATGTGTACCCGAAATTCCAACGATGGCAATCTGAGTTTCTCATGCACGCACCTAGCCACCAGCGCTCCGCCGCTCAAGGCTTCGCTTCCGGCGCAGCCGCCGAAGCCCCGAAGCATTCCGCGGTTTAAGCCTCCTCCGCCAAACGGCTTCCCGTGCAGCTGCAGCTTTGGCCTGCGTAAGGATGGCATGCAGACTGGTGGGTGCCGATGCAGAATCAACCAAAGTTCGTGTGACATAATGAAAGCTGACGAACCGTGAACAAGCGCAGAGAAGCAACGAGGGATAACACCTGCCTCCAGCGCCCACCTCTACACCGAACCGTTAGCGAGTATGAAAAAAGTCAACGCTGCAATCGCCTCGAAACCTGCAACCATCATCACCAAAACAGGAGACCTCCAACGAACGCGTACCGCCCTGCCCCGTTGCTTCCGCCTTCGACGCAGCCTTCGCCGCCGAGCCAGCTTCCTCCTTCGCCGTACCTTTCGTCTTTGCAGCCCATTTTCCCTTCGTCGCATTCTCTTCCTATGTCCATTGGGCCTGGAGGGTCGAGACGCTTTCGGCTCCTCGTCCTTTGGCGAACTTGGTTTGAACTCTAACCCCAATCTACGCGACAGCGCCGAGTCCGCCGCCGCTGGCAGCAGCAAAAACAACTTCGACGTCAAGCCTGCCACGACCATCGCTCGGGCTTCCTCCTCCGCTGCACCTCTCTTGGTTCTCGCCTCGACAGGCCTTTCCTTTTCGGCAGCGCACATCTTCCCTCGCACCCCTAAGAGACGCGGCATTCAGATCATCGTCATTACCGCCAACGGCAATAGCAACGGCAACCTTATCGCCACGCCCCCCGCTGCCGACAACATCGAAAACAGCGTCACGAACAGGGTCGCTGACAGGGACCGAGTTCGCTCTTCCACACCTGCCTTGTCCACCTCCGCCGGCACCGCCGTCGACTCGGCTGTGCCTGCCTCAGCCTCCACCTTCGCTGCATTAGCCCCGGCTTTCTTCGCCAGAAGAATTGCTCGTTTCACATCCAACACAAAAGCCCGATCTGGCGCTCCCTTCGCCTTCTGCCAGAAAGCTAGCTCTTCGTCAATCTTCGGACAGCAAAAACATTATAACAACAGATAGCGCACCGGCGGAAAGGTGAAAACAATGCAATAAATACAGATGTAAACTAGATACAAGTACGTATAGGTCAACCACTGAGCGTCTTACGTGACCGCAACAATCCTCGCGAGGTTCGCATCATACCTGCCTCACCTGAAGTGCACTTGCGTTTGCCGGCGGTAGCATGAGCACCCAGTGATTGAATTCAGGCATCCATCGCGTTTGGCGGAGTCCGCCAACAGTTGTCTCCGTGAATTCGTGGATGCTGCTGAAGGCTTGCTTGTGGGACGTGATGCACATCGTGAGGTAGATGGTTGGCTCAACCCCAGCGGGCTTAAGCGGACCGATCAACTCCTTGCTCCATTTCCCGGCGAACGACGCCCCACCCTCAACATGCTTCATCGACCCACCTGCCGAACGATAGCATATGTGAGGGACTTTATCAAAGGACCGCAATTATTTGCACAGGCTATTGGGGAACTACAAATTTCTTTGCCCACAATTACGTATCATCTACACAACGATTAGAAGTACTCATCGGAAATATCCCTTTGCCACAAGAGACCATCCTGTCCTGCGCATATTGGAAGGGGAGTTCTCCTGTGTGTGCGAGGGGGTTCTTGCGGGGTCGTGAACGAGCTTTTCGCCACGGTCACGTTGCTCATGGCGGGCGGATACCAACGAGAGACGTAGATCTCAAAATTCATTTTGCTGTGCAACTCTGCCGTTTCCAATATTGTGGGAAAATTATACACGCAAAAAAACAAACCCACCTGGATGAAAGCACCGCATCTTCATTCCAAAGGCCTGCGCTGTCCACGGCATGGCGGCCTGTTGGCTGTCACTAAACTCGCCAGCGACTTCTCGCACGGCAAGCAGGTAAAGAACTCGAGATACGCTCTCTGTCAATACCTCAGGAGTGTCACACCCGAGGCTCCAGGCGGCCTTGACTTCTTTTGCGGAGTACGCTTGAAGTGTACAGTAGAAGCCACCGTACTCCGGGCCGCTGATGAACTCCTCGAAGTGTACTATGGCCGCACGGATGACTGCTACACGCACCGACAGAGACAGCCCCAGCGCTTCGTCAGGGGTGTTGCACTTTGTACCAAAAATGCCCAACGGGACGGCGTTGAAATAGCAAGCACCATTGCCGCGGACCTTCACGGGTACCCCCCTGCCCCCACCGTCCGCACCTTCCCCCCCGTTGAGGAGGTCTTCTGCTGTTCTGTCCACGCGCATGGGTCGCCTCAACAAGCCCTCGTATCCCTGTACCAAACGGCCGGACACGGTTTTATTAAGCCTCGGCGCGACGAGTGTGTTCCTACTTTCATCCTTTTTTCGATGGTGTGCCCCAGCGTACCTGCTCGATAAGCGGTAGCCATTTACACTTTTCCAGCAAAATTATGACGAAGCGTTTAGGACGAAAAATAAGAAGGTATACCTTCACGCACTCGTCTAGCCAAACACTGACGACGGGTCATACCAAATATTGGCAGCTCTGACTTGATGTGATAGTCGGGATAATGTTGAAAATCGTTCTACAGCTTGGGGGAGGCGGGGGGTTACGGCAAAGGGGGGGGTACGACACGAGTACGGTAATATGTACTACGCCGAGGGAGGTCGGCAATAACATTACCCATCGCCGAATTCGTACGTACGTCATCTGGGTCCTCTTACCGGCAGGATGACGTCCGTATCTTCGCTGCACAACACGTCCTTGAAGCTCTTCGCGTGCTGGATAATTCCCAAGCATGCTTCGAGTTCCACACCGTCTGCCATGCTACCATCAGAGAGCACTCCATCGATACTTTCCCTCATCCTCTCCAAGAAACGGACGTTCGCCTGTTGATCGGCGAACGCCATGTCGTTATCGACATTCCCGATTTCACTCCGACCCCCACGCGCTTTTTCCGGGTGAGGCCCGTCCTGCTACATAAAACACCGACAGCGGAACGTCGTTTGGGGCACAATGCTTTGTTGCCTGCACTCCGCATAACACTGCCAATCTGCCAATGCGTGCGGGTCCAGAAAGGGGTGCGCACACATATGTACATGAAACAATATTCGTGTTGCGTGTATGTTAATCTTCGTCTACATTCGCCTCCAAGATAAAAAACGACGTTCCCATGTGCCTATGTACGAAGATCGTGTTCGCTCAAGCTCTCTCCCTTTTGCGATCCTTGCGGAATGGATGGTATACGGTACAAGGTTCCCCTGCGGGAGTTAGGTGATTTGCCTCCGGGGGGCGACGCAAGGGGGCATGGCCAATCAATGTAATCTCGGTCGCATGGTTGGTCGTCATGACGTTCGGTAGTGCCGGTTTGCGTTCGACCTGTATACTTCAAACTAGTTTGCAGGAATTTTCATCATGCGCGGGGTATTGTGTATTCTCCCGCCGAGATTTTGTCTCTAGTGCGCGAGCGTGTGCTTCTTTATGTAGGATCATGTTTCTCACGTATGTTCTGTGGGAGGTTATCCTGCCACAATGGCGCACACTCCGACATAAAAAATATTCCGAAGGTCTATATCTACAGCAGTAGACACCACGATCGTGATTTAGTTGCCTGTGCTGTGCAATTTGAGCTTAATAAAGCAATGTAGTTGGCGGTCATTCCTACATCTCCGCGTAACCTATTGACTCAAGCGTTCCTCTACTAGACCGCAACGCTGCTCCATCAGAGCGGCAACGCAGCAGCGTACTCTGCTTGTCGGCATGAGTGCGTACTGTACGCATGTTGTCGCGCGTATTATTTCATCAAGAAAAACACTTCCTCGTGGCCGTTGACACCCATGGCCTTGAATCCACTCACGTTCAAAGACTTCAACAGCACCTCCCTCGCCTGCGGTGCGGAATGTGTAGCTGTAGCTACCAGGCGCGCAGCATACACCGTGAAAAAGATGCCGCCCTCGCGTTCAAAAAAGAGCGGCCCGCCCGATTTTCGCCGGAAGATACCACCCCCAACCTCAAGTTCACGCTGTTGTTGCAAAGCGTACAGTTGACCACGGTCCTCAGCACTTGGTGGGTGTAGGGCTTGGTGGTCAATCTCACTGAATATCGATTCCAGCATTTTGGATCGGCACTGCAGCAGGAGCTGTTGCAAAGTTGCGCTGTATCCCGTGGGAAATGGGGTGCCGTTTTGGCGTCGTCAGGTGTCCTGGTCGGCCTAATTTGCCTTAAAAAAACGCGTCACGGGGCCCCCAGCAACACGAGTGCCCAGCAACACAACAATGCCGCGTGCGTTGGTCAGCATCCATCCATCCCAGCAGAGGGAGGTGGGTGATGCACATTGTACTGCTGTAATATGTCAACGCCACCAGCAACACGTGCCCGCCCGTGTTAGTTGTGGCCCTACCGGTAACCTCTCGCTCGACATGCATGTGGTGGTCAATCCTTTTTTTTCCGCTCTGCTCTCAGGTGCTGCTGCTTGCTGTTGAGCAGGCAGTAGCTGACCTTCCACACAACATACGCCGGAGGAGTGGAGAGCTTCCCATACGTAGTGGTAGAATGGTTGCGAGGAAAGCAGTAGACGACAACAGAAGTGTGCACAGGGAGGATCCTCTCTCCATCTCTCTCGACTCTCGACAGCATGGGATGTAGACGATGTACTTGTTCTTGTTTGGCAGTAAAGTTGAAAACCGGGGTTGAATGCCGCCGCATTGTGGAGAACATGTACAATCCATTCCATTGACGCAGCAATGCTGGGTGCTGTGCAGGGTGCTTGGTGCTCGGCACGAACGCAGCGCATCCGAAAGGCACAGGGAGCTTCGGGCACCTCGGTTGATTCTGACGTGCGAACCGTGGGACGTACGCTACGGTTTGGGTATTGTCGATTCAACACGAATGTCTGACTCTTTAGTCTACTTGTACACATCCGTTCGACCGTGGCATGCCGTTGTTTGTTCGAGTTGAATCGATGAAGTAAGTGGCGGCCCCTCTCCGCAAGGGTGATGAAACACGGATGCATTGCCTCGACCACCACGGACAGGTTAGAAAAGACATGGCCACAGAACGGGAGTCAGCGCGTTCGCACCAACGACAAACGGAGGATCATCTTGGTTTTGGTCGCCCTCCGGGGAAACGCGTTGTCTACTGCTGCTGCTGCCCCTGCAGGAGAGATGAGCCCATTGCTTCAGAGGTAAGCCAGGTAGGGTGTCTCTCTCACAGCTGTAGTTTAATCTGCATGATTGGGTCTATTGAACGTATGGCATGATGAGAAAGGGGCGGGGATTCGACGTAAGCAATGGCACCGGTAGGCCTCGAAGTATTGGAGACCCTCTACCGCAACATCGATGCTTGGAACCAGAGGAGCTCCCACTTTTTTTGTTGCAGTCGGCTAGGTAGAACGGCAGGAGGGTAGTGCACGAGACCAACTCAACACCTTCACTCGTAAAAGAAAGGGAACGGAAAGAGTTGCGTTGGAGCGTCGCTTGAGCCGACCTGTATCTCACAATACCATCAACTCCTGCTGCTGTTGTGAGCGGTTTGTATGTAAGCGGACACAAACGGGGCGAGGGTGTTCTACGGAGCTTCGCCCTCGCTGTTGCCCCCCCCATGATACACCAATCCGTCAAACTGTAGGCAAGCGTCCAGAACGGTCGATGTCCATGAGCGTTCGATGCAGCGTTGTGTCCCTGTGTGCCTCATGCCCACGGAGCCCAGGGAGAGGTAGATGCCTATCGCTAGGAAGAGACCCGCACACTCCTCCGGTCGTGCACCCTATTGATCTGCTTGCGTGTCAGGGTGTGAATGTATGGAGCGCCAGTTTATCGACGGCGTCCGAGGTTTGCAGAGTGTTTATGGAGCGTCAGATAACCGACCGTGTTCGAGGGGCCAACTTGCACCATAAACGGAGAGTGGACAGGTGCGACTGGGTCAGAGTTGCGGTGCGCTCGCTGTGTCCTGTGTAGCCCCAGAGCGTGGCCCAGTGTTTCATTGATGTGTTTCGCCATGCTGCCACTCTTTGCCCCTTCTCTACTCTGATGAAGTGTCTCGCCGCGTCTTCCATGGCCAGGGGTGCCCTCGCTTGCGCCGCCGCTTGGAATGGGGGATAGGGGAAGATGGAAAGAGGCGACACCGTTCGAAAGGTTGAGCCCGCGTCTGTGACCGCATCTGGTCGAATGGGGGCTATGCGAGGTGGGATAATTTCTAGGTACCTTCGGATCGAAGCCCGTTCCCCTGTCAAGTCTGGAGCACGTTCGGGCGAAGTAGACTTCTCTTGTATTCTTTGTTTGCAAAAATAGGCGAGGGATGGAGTAGTAACCCTTGCACGGGGGCATGAAGGGTGGAGCACGCACGAGGGGCGACCTTTGCTCTGCATGCGAGATCGAGGTAGGGGGGGGGGGGTGGGGCGTACTCTTATGTTTTGCATGTCTTAGCGGTTAGACCATTGACCACGCGTCCTCGAGAGGACGGAGCATTGTTCCCACAGGACCGATCACCGATGGCCAATCGTTCCTT